GGTTACTAACCGTTCTTTTCTTTTTTTATAGTTTCGGTGGGTTTCCAAAAGATCAAGATTCGTAAGTATATACGAATACATGAATTATGTGATTGTGGAATTGTAGATTAGTAATACTTATTTGTAATATGCATTTATAAATAAAGCTGTGATTTATTGCGAATATTAAATAAAATGAGTTGTGGCTGAATATTAGTAAATAAATTTAGTACAAATTTGCAACATAAATTAAGTAACATTCAGAAAACTATTCACCAAAATTTGCTATCTGAAATTGTTCTGAATGTTAACTGAATTTTGGCTGAAATTTCAAGCCGAATTTTAGGCGAGTGGCAGCGAACTGCAGCCAAAAAATCAGCTAAAGTTCAACCAGCATTAGACCATAAATTAGCCTAAAATCAGCTGGTTGAATTTTGGCCGATTTGGACTATTTTGACCAGTGCTTTTGTGTGGAAAAACCAAGATTTGTAAGTAAGTACGAATCTTGGTTTAATTTTTTTAATTTTTTTTTTAATATTAATGAACAGTTACTAATAACCGTTCTTTCTTTTTTTAGGCTTTGGGTGGGCTTTCAACCTTCGGGAAAAGAGGAACCAAGATTCGTAAGTACGAATCTTAGTTTATTTTATTATTATTTTATTATTATGAACGGTTACTAACCGTTCTTTTTTTTTCTTTTTTATAGGTTTGATGTCTCAGGTGGGCTTCTGAAGAACAGAAAAAAACAAAGATTCATAAGTAGAATCTTGATTTTTTTCTGCTTTTTTTAATATTATGGAATGGTTACTAACCGTTCTTTTCTTTTTTTATAGTTTCGGTAGATTTCCAAAAGATCAAGATTCGTAAGTATATACGAATACATGAATCATGTGATTGTGAAATTGTAGATTAGCAATAATTATTTGTAATTTAGATAGATACTAATAATAATAATATAATTAAGAATACTTTAATAAATTTGATATATGATAAAATTAAAATAAATTCAGAAATAAATAGGTGGTTGTTAGATTATAATTTGACTTAAGTTTTAATGTCAAATATAGGTCTAATTTTAGCCAAATATCCTTTCCGAATTTGAGACGATTGGCACCCTAAATACGCTTAAAAATTCGACCTCAATTTGACACAGGTTAGATCATCATTCGACCTATATTTGACCTAGTCAAATTTAAGCCGAATTGTCCTTTTTCGACTAGTGTATCTCAATTGTACTATTTGTTTTTAAATTAAACAAATAAATTTTTAAAAATTATTTTAAATTAATACATTTAATACTATTCTCTCTAAAACTAAAATACAAATTATTGTCTTAAAAATTAGAATAATTTATCTGTTAAAATCTGGATGATTATCTGTTAATATTCAGATAATTATCTACTAACGTACAGATAAATTATCTGTTGATATTTAAAATAATTTTTAAAAATTTATTTGTTTAATTTAAAAACAAATAGTACAATTGAGATATTAAAAAAAAATAATTCACTTCTGTTATAGTATAAAATAAAAATATAAATAAATTATGTATCAAAAACTATAAAGTAATTATTATTTATTAATAAAATATTATAAAAAGTATATTAATAAACATTAAAAACTTTCCTTGTAAAGCATAAAAAAATTATGAAAAAAGTTTATATTTGACAAGTTTTAAACTTCTAAAAAAATTTTTTTTTAATTTATTACACAAAAAAATATATAAATCTGATGATAATTTATCTGCTATTACCCAGATGATTATCTGTTAATATTCAGATAATTATCTGTTAACATACAGATAAATTATCTGTTGAAGTTCAGATAATAAAAAATGGGAAAATTCAGAATAAACATCTGTAAAAATTTTTGGAAAGTTTTGCAGATAATATATGTAAAATATCACAGATCATCTGTGAAAAATTACCAAAAATGAAAAGAAATAACTGTGATAATTCATCTGTGCATTGACAGACTTTTGTCTGATTTGGCTTGCCATAATAAATATCTGAAAATGACAACACTACTATAATAAAAATCTGATCAGCCTGGATGCCCACTTCGTTATATTAAGAATTGACTGTACTTGTTTTGTATCGCCTTTACTTCCATCTATATTTTAAAAATAAAAAAATAAAATAAACAACTGTAAGAAGATGAAAATTTAAAAATTTCAGAAATTATAGATATTTAAAAGGTTAAGGGGTTTGTTATTTGGCTTTCTGAGGAGGACATTGCAATTAATAAAATGGCCGCTTGTATAGGTTAAATCATATTATAATCAGCCAATCATAGTTTGTATTTGGTGATCCAATCAGGGATATATTCGCTCATGCTATACAGTATATATTTATATTTCAAATTCAAAACCGTAATAATTAATAATGAGTGAATTAAGACGGTTCAGGACTACCGATTTATTTCGCTTCAATAATGTGTAAATAGAATTTAAAGATTATCATTGAATTCTTATTTATTTTATTTTTATTAAAAAAAAATATCATTTTTCTTGTTCTACGCGTAAAGAAATCTTGATGTTCTAACAGAAACGGTAAACTTTACTGGTATACCTTAAAAATTATTTTATCATATTGGCATAGCGCATAAACTTTGATTTTCTCTTTCGCGACAGTACAATATTTCATTCTATCTTACTTATTTGGCGCGTTGGCCAGACCTTTTCTGTGTCCAGGAATCACCCAGTGGAACCATAATGGGTTACAGTTAAGTAGATAATATATTTATCTATTTTCTCTTATTTGCAATCTTGTTTTTAATTGTAATATTATAGTAATGGGGAAAGCTGAAGGACGTAATAAAGATTGGCATGGTCATGTTACGGCAATCACTGTAGCTCCCGAATATCGACGGTTAGGTTTGGCAGATGGAATGATGAAGTTGTTAGAAAATGTGTCAGAAAAGATGTCCGTATATATATATGTGTGCAATTTTTTTTTTCCATTTTTTAATATATCTACGTGGTTCATTTCATGGAATTTTATAGTTATGATGGATATTTTGTCGATTTATTTGTCCGCGTATCAAACAAAGTTGCAATAGGGATGTATAAAAAGTTTGGTTATTCTGTCTTTAGACGTGTTAATGGATATTATTCTTCAGGAGATAATAATGAAGAAGATGCATTTGGTACGTTCTATTTCCTATTATAATAACGGGATCATGGCTTTACAGCTTAATAAACTAAACAAGATTTTTTTCTTAGATATGAGAAAACCTTTACCACGAGATGAAAAGCGAGAAAGCGTGATTGAAAACGGGGAGAATAATATTGTTAAACCTGAAGATTTGTAGATTTATAGTATTTTACATAGTTTGCTTGATTTATTTGTAGCCCAGGGACTTTTTTATAATAAAATAAATTTAGCAGTTAATTATTATTATATATATATATATAAAAGTGATTTAGTGGTAAAGATACAAACTAAACTAGTAAGACTCACTCGCTCACTCACAATATGTAAGTTATTAGGTACTATCAATTAAGACTAACCTAACCGCCCCCAGGATAACCTACGAGCCCACTTTTCGTAAAAGAAAAACTATCTATAGATTATAGAGATAAAAGGGAGATGAAGGAAAGAATAACAAAATGACATATCAATCTAGATGCAACTAAGGTCCATTGAGACAAATAGAAAAAGCGGATTGTAATACATCAATAATAGGTAATACTAAGTATTACTATTATTTCCTGCAATGACCCCGGAGAGAATTAAAAGCATTACAGGATTTTTTTGACGATTTTTTTCTTTAATTGTACATTTTTAACCCTCCAATCTTCTGAATATTTCCACACCAACTACATGTCTTTGATGTGTAAGCTTCATTTTGAATCATCACATGGATTCCTTTCTCTTTTGCTTTTGAAATCAAACGTGCTAGAACTTGTAATGAGACCAACAAAGCATCTTTCTAATTGTCTTCCTTCTTATCTTTCGTGTTTTGCTGTTCACCATATCTGAAACCTCAAAAGGGGAATAATAATTACGCAATTGTTTGATCTTTTTCGCATATGAGAGATAGCATTATCAACACGTAATGCTTTCTTTTTCTTTCGTTTTGAGGTTGAAGATGCCAGTATATCTTTTTTTGATATAAGGTATTTGAACAATTAAACTTTTTATTTAAAGTGTATTTATCGCTCTTTTTATTTGTTTATTAATCCCTTTTGTCGGCCTCTTCCACAATCAAATAAATTTAGGACTTTGTGGAAGCACTTTTGTAAATCCTCTTCATAATCTAATTATTCTGCGCTCTTCTCTCTCCTGTTAGATCATCCATATGTTTACATAAATGAAAGATACTATTCTCCTATTTTACCTGCACCTTTTGTTGAGGAATACCATATGAATGGAACAACATAAACTCCCGCTTGTGTTTTGCAGAAAAGTTTTTGTGTCTCATAAACCCATGTAAGTTTTCACTCATTTATTTGACGGAAATAAGTAAGCTTGCTATCGCAAGAAATTTTATGAGGAATAGGCAATTTATTATTTTTATGCTTTTTATAAAATGCAAAAGCCATAAAGCACATTTGTTAACTGTTTAATATTGTGATAAGCTTATAACAATGTGAAGAAAATTCATACATTGATGAAGTATGCAGATAGGTGACATAAAAATGGTCCCATATTGAAGATGAAAAATTTTAAGTACGAACGGTAACAGTTTGTTGTAGATTTTTACGAGTCCAAAATGATAAAGAACGAAAACCTTACCAATCCCATCCGATGTTTCAATAATTGTTTCTGAGAATGATTGGGTACACCTTGACTTGTAGTGTACGATTGAGAGTTTCTTCTGATTGGTGTGTGTCCTTGTCACACTGGCTTTCCTCTTCCTACTTACTTCGCCTGTTTTGACGTTCTTGTCGATGTAGGGCAGCTCTTTTTCCAGATAAAGATGGTGTTGATTGCAAGGATATCCTGGAAAAGTTCATGCTCGTCAGAAGTCGTATCGTTGAAGAAAATCACGAGTTTTGTAGTGTGGAAGGAGAGCACATACTGGATGAGGTTGAAGGCGAACCGGCAGAGTCAGTCACGATGGGTAACCACAATTTCTAAGACCATTCCACGACTTGTCCGTTCCAATAAAATCTTAAGTCCCGGTCATTTGAAGTTGAAACCTGAGCCGATGTCGCTGATGAGTTCATAGGTTGGAAATCGGTGCTAAAGGTCTTCTTTTTGCTTGGTAGAGGAAACCTTTTTTGGTGGAGGTGGTGGAGGTGGTGGTGTTATCAACATTCTGTGAAGTCAACTCTGGAAAAATAGATATGTTGTAAAGACAAAGTACCAGAAGGAGACATTTTAGCAGTAATCTTTCCTTGCTTTAACCAACGACGCAAGGTGTCTGTTGAGATACCAAGTTTCTTAGTTTCTTAGTTGCTCGATTTGAATCTTTTATATATGATTTTCGTTGAAAAGCATTATTAAGCTAAGGCTACGGTGATAAATATGATCGACGGTTGTACAAATTTTCTCTGCCGATCATGCGATTTCATTTATTACTAATTACCGTTTTGCTTGGTGTTCAAACTGTAGTCGTTGGGAAATTTTAAAATGGCAGAGTATCTCGCTTCGATCTATGGTACAGAGAAGGACAAGTAAGTTTATTGGAATAATCAATAATTCTTTGTACTTTGTAACCTATACTTACTATAACTCTCTTTAGAGTTAATTGTTCTTTTTATTTTAAAATTGGAGCCTGTCGACATGGAGATCGTTGTAGCAGAAAACACGTTAAGCCTACTTTTTCACAAACAATTCTTTGTTCTAATATCTATCAAAATCCCGCACATGATACTAATTGTAATATGTCTGAAGAACAAATTCAAGCGCATTTTGACGATTTTTACGAAGATTTTTTTACTGAATTGTGCAAATACGGAGAAGTTGAAGAGATGCATGTATGTGATAACGTGGGTGATCATTTAATCGGAAATGTTTATGCTCGGTTCAGATACGAAGAAGATGCTCAGAAGGCAGTAGATAATCTTAATCAAAGATTCTATGCTGGTAGGTAGGTTTGCTTTATCTTTATTAACGTAAGTTTAATTAATAACAAATAATTCTTTTTCATTTTATTAATTAAATAAAAAGGACGACCTATTTATGCTGAACTTTCTCCAGTCACAGATTTCCGAGAAGCATGCTGTCGTCAAAATGAAAACGCAGAATGTACCAGAGGAGGATTTTGTAATTTTATGCATTTAAAGGAGGTATCTAGATATTTAAAGAAAGAGCTTTTTGCTGCTCAGAGAAATTTTTTGCGTGAACAAAGACGCGTTAAACGTGAGAAAAGTGAAATGTGAGCATAATATTTCTTTAGAAATTTCTCTGCTAGTTTTTACAATTATTTATTGGAATACCCAATTCCTTAAAAACTATAAATCATTATCTCATCATTCCAATATCAATCATAGCAATTAAATAGAAATCGGTTCCCAGTTTTAGTAAATGTAAATAGCAAACGTAAACGTAATGTTCAATCATTAAATAATTTCACGTATTAAATATAGAATGTAGAACAACCCGAATACGGAAAAGAAAGTGGGACAAAGAAAATCTTTTCTGCCCTTATAAACTTGCTACATTTGAAAACTTTTCTTATTGTGCATTACATCTTTTAATTTCTGTAATTTTCTTGTCATATTTATTAAGTTGCTGAATATCATTTAACGCATTTAGCTTTATTTTCGATTACCTAAAACATTGATAATAGTAATTAATAAAAAAAAATTACATAACATTTTTTAATTTTTTTTTAAGTTCAAAAATTGGTGATTTTTCTGCAATTTGTACAGCATTAAGTTCTAATATTGGTGGCATTTGCTGTATATTTTTTTTCCTGCAAAATAAGATAACATCTCTTCTGATGTCTTTTAAAGAGATGAAGTCGGAGAGAGAGTTTTTTATACAATCATTGTCACTAAAAATGCTCCATTCATAAAAAAATCTTGACTTTTCAATTTGATCGCAAATTTTTTGATAAGAATCATTATTAATACACAATAATTCTCTAACAACTATATCATCTCTAGCGGTTACAGTTGCAACACATGTTCCGTCTGAAATCTTAAATCTGCCAGAAGAATAAAATCTTCGACCTAAATTACATCCATTAGGACAACAATCATTTTCTATAATTTCTTCACAAGCTTCACATATAAATTGCATTATAATTTCATAAACATTATTTATTCTGCAAGGAACTCGAAATACACTTTGAATAGAAATCCTACTTTCAAAAAGATCTATTAGATTCGTGTTATCAAAATCTTGATCTTGATGGAATGATTGAATCGATTTTGGATATCCTTGCAATGATATATGAGTTTTCCCAGACGCATAACAATATATTTTACCAAAATTAGACTTTCTGAGTCCAATTTTTCTCAATGTAATAATTTGGCCTGGGACTAGCCCAATAGGAATAATATATTTCGATATATTACTAATATATACATCAATAATTTCCTCCGCTATTTGAATGTCTTGAATTCTAAGCAACAAACTAGCATGTGATTGTCCTACATTGTTAGAATGCTGAATTTCCTTTGACAAAATGAGTCCCTTCAAAGTCACTAATTTATTTGTGTCATTTAAAATGTTAATAAAATTTCCATTCAGAAATTCTTGTACGTTTAATGCTTTATCTTCTGTTAAAAATGCTGCTTTTAGATTCCTGAATGAATTTTTGGATGAATCGTTTAATCTAAGAATTTTAGGTTGAATCACTTGACCAAATAAATCTTTAAATGTTGAACTGTCATCAAATTCGATACTGGTGATATTTGAAATTACAAAATCATCAAAATTTAAGATAATTGACCCTTCTGTCGAATTTATTATCTGTTCAGATTTATCAACGTCAAAAGATAATTCATAAAATGACCCAACATGCAACGCTGGTAAGATCTTGATAAAATCTTTTGATATATTAATAAAAGTGATTGTATTTTTATTAATCAAATCTGATGTGTATTCTAATACAGTTTCTATTTGCAATTTGCAACTTATGTTTGTTCTTGAATTTTCTGAAATATAATTTAACTTTGCAGGAAAAATATGACGAATTTGGAATACACTTCGATTAAAATGAACTTTCGGATCATATGATTTCGCGTAAAAACAGAAGCACTTTTCAATAGCAAAACGTAAGTATATTTTGCTGGGTCGTTCAACTACAAGTTCATATTCAGGAATTATCCATATACTATTAAGATGATGAGATTGAATTTTTTCAAAAGAAATATTAATTGCTGAAATTGTTCCTGTTTGATCTTTCAATTGAAGAGTTCCATCCAAACTTCCTTCAAGAAATCCCATCAAATGTGTTTTCCCTAAATTTGCTTCAAATTGTGAAAACACTTTCAATTGATTTTCTCCACAAATTTCAGAAGAAAATCTTTGTGAAATCACTAATTCGTTGATGAGGTGTAAGACTTCCGATATTGGTGGTAATCTAATATCTATTTCTTGATTTTCTTCAGTTATACAACAATAAACTTTGTGATTAAAATATTCTTGTGCCAAATCTTCAAAACAGTTGGCCGCACGATATTTTCTTAAAAGCCTTGAAAATGGACAACTTTCAACTTTCTTGTAGTCACTTTTACTTGGTCTTGGATCACTTAACAATATCTCATCTTCGAAAACATCCGGGAACTTTTTGGTAAAATTATAATGCGCCTTTTGAACCCATAATAATTCCAGTAAAGTGAACGAGTTATTATTACGAAAATTTGAGAACTTACTAATGATCTTTTGCGAAACCGAATCAGATTCGAATATTTCGCTTGGAAATCTAACCACTCGAACAGTACTACAATGACAGGCAGCAAAAATTACTTTAACATCTCTGAAATTTGGACAATTCTTGTTATTATCAAGTCTCCAAATGTCTTCTTTCATTGTAAATTTTATCGCATGTATATTATATAAAAGCAGCTTCATTCCAAGTCGGTAAGGAGTTATTGATGGATTATATTCTGGATATTTACCCAGATGTAAAATATATTCTGAATCTAAAACGAATAACCCCAAAGCATTATCTATAATATAAGTGATTATGCCTTCAAAACCAAAACAAGAACAAGCCAGATCAGTTAAATGTTGGATTTGCTCGGTTGGGTTACTACTATTATAAGTGATCGCGAGTTCTCTATTAACGTTTTCGATCGAATCAATTGAGCTGATCACGAAAACAGGAAATTGTGTATCCTCATTAAACGTCCTCCTTGGTTTTATATTTTTGAAAAAATACATTTCACCGACCATTATTATTTTATAATATTCAATGAAATGATCTCCATTGAAGATAATATGTACGGATGAATTTGAATCGTGTAGCGTCACGATAAAAGTAATTTTGTCTTTTGATTGATAAAGGACACTTTTCATGTTAACCATTGCAATTAAGTTAACCTTTGGAAGAGACTCTGTGGGATTCCTACCTAAGTTAAATAGTATATCAGCTGCTGCCGTGAACGAATTAGGTTGAAAAAAATTTTGATTAAGAAAAGAGGGGCTTCGTTTCTCAAAAAAATTGGCACTTAAAACTAATTTTTTAGAATATAATGCCTCGGAAAATCCGACTCGCAGGAAAAGAATTTCTGAATGTACTTCTAAATGATAAACCTCTTTTCCGCTTGGTTGCTTGTTTATTAAAAAACTCCATGATAACAAGGCTATTGTACCAGTAAGCCATTCTTTTTTGTAACCAATTAAAAGGCAAGGCACTTTTCCAGTCTCGTCTTCGAATAAAATTGTACCTTTTGGATATATTGAACTATCTTCTGTAATAAGTTGTAAAGTTCCCAAAAGAACAATTGTATTTGCGAGCGGTGTTATACAACGATTATTTGATATAAGTTCAGAAAGTAACCATCGATGATATCGTGGATATTGTGTCATAATGTAAAAATCTTTGCTGGCAAAAATATTTGTTTATAGGATGAACGATCGAAGTTTTATTGGCTGATAACAAAATGTCGTTATTTTCCATACCATCTATACTCATCAAGCTATTAAACTACTTGTTAAAATCATTATAATTATGATAATTGTCTTATACAACTCACATTAGAGTTTGCGTAGAGTTTATATGTTAATTCCGGCCAGAATTGCGTATTTCAGGGGTATTTTCGAATTTGCTTATCGTACATACCCCTGTTTTTAAGCGATCCAGTGATTGGAGTTTGACGAATTTAGGCTTATTGGATTCGTCTCGATGAGACGAATCTAATGATAATAAATCGCATTTTTAGCATCGATATTGACCGAGTTATTGTTAAAAATGCATTTTGCTATATACAGTCAACTCTCTTTATAGTCACACATTTGGGACAGTCCATATTTGGTGATTATGAGCAAACAGTCTTATGACTTTATCTTTTATTATAAAATTTAAACGAAAAGAAAATAATCAAATCAAACAATATTACAAAACCAAAATATGAATTAAACATAAAAAATAAAAAAAAACTAGTTTCACGATTCATACAAGTAAAGAAATCTAAACAAAATAAAATTAAGTAAAGAAAAACTAAACTATTACAGAATACGCATACCCCAACTTTACCCGAAGGCCAGTGTGAGTCAACTATCCAGCATGACCTAAGATCCAATCCGTTACCAAAAAGAAATCCTAAGTAGAGGCTGAACTGTTAAGCAGCGCCAAAAATCCAAGTGCGAAATCCAAGATCCACCACTAGAGCTCCGAATCTAACCCGATGGGTCGGGTGACCCATCGGGTTGATCCATAATTTTCAGGTCGGGTCAGTACATTAGTAAGATATCATCAGGTCGGGTTAATGATTTGAATGACCCAGGTCAAATTTGGGTCACTATATAAATTTTATTTTATGGAAACTAAAATATCTGATATATACTTCTCAGCGTAATTGATTCATTAATTACGGTAGTACGGAATTATGGCTGATCATATGATTTTTAAAAAACTGAATATGGAGATCGATAAATTTTATAAATCTCATTTTATTTTTCTTCGGTAAAAATAATTTTATTTTTTTAAATTTAAAAAAAAATATTTTTTTATCGGTTATTTAAACCGAAATTATTTAAATTTTATTTATTTTCTTTTTTTAAAATAAACTTTTTTTTAGGTTATTTAAACCGAAATTATTTAATTTGAAATAATTTTTAAATTTATTTTTTTTTCGGTAAGAATATTTTTACCTTTTTAATTTTTTTATGAAGAGCGTTTACTAACGTTCTTTAATAACTTTTTTTTTGTAGATTTCGGACTGCAACTCAGTAGGTATGGCTTTAAAGGCGGGATATATTTCTTTTTTATATATAAGAACGTTTATTAACGTTCTTTAACTTTCTTTTATAAGTTTTGGACTAGAACTTGGAATTAAAGACGAGATATTAGGTAAGGTTTTAAAGAGAGTGGGAGGGGTGGGAGCGGGATTATTGTTTTTAATATATAAGAACGTTTCAGTTACTAATGTTCTTTAACTTTTTCTTGTAGATTTTGGACTGCAATTCATGGGTGTAGTAAAGGGAGAGGAAGCAGGATATTGTTCTTTTTATATATAAGAACGTTTACCAACGTTCTTTATCTTTTCATTTGTAAATTTAGGATAGAGCTTGTGGAACTGGAAATTTGAATAAATATAGATCTCAACATTAAATATTTGACTATATTGTAATATAATACATTAATTAAAGTTGTAAAATTTAACTTAAATTTTAAATAAAGAATCAATAATAAAGTGTGTATTAGTAAATTGCGTCAGATACGTTAGTATAAATAATTACGCCAGTATAAATCAATTACGTTAGTAAAATTCAATTAGTATAATCTGATAAATCATTTCAGTTAGCAAATTGAAAAGTTTTCTTAAAAAATAAAATTCCAGGTCTATTAGAAAATATAAAAAAAAATTGGCTTTACTGCCTTTACATCTTTTGATAATTTATATTAAAATTAAAAATTGTTTTTCGTTATTTAATTATTATTTAAATTATAAAAAAAAGGAGTTTTTACCATGATCTGCTATATTTTACCAAATATATATAATAAGATGGATTATCAGATCCAAAATCTCTTTTTTATTTTAATACCATACGAAAATAAAATGTCTCAAAAAAACAATAATGAAGAATTTGAATTTAATCATCGTTCAAAACGAACTCGTTATATTAATATTACGGATGAAGAGGAAGAGCCTGAAGAAATACTTGATAATGAGGAAATCGAATTAGAAAACCATCAAGAAGGAGGGTCTCAGCTTGAAAATAAAGATGATACTTCAAGTGCCTTAAGTACATTAGACGAAAAGGATGAAAAAGGAAGCATAGTATGGAAACATTTTGACAGATTTGTAGATAATAAAGGTACTTCATGGGCAAAATGTCGATATTGTGGATAAGAAATGAATAAAGTTTTTAAAATATGAAATATACAAAATAAAGTCAAAATCACTGAAAAAATATTTTTAAATTTGATAATTTGATAGAAACGGTAAATATAATATGGACAGTGGTTCAACAGGAAACTTACTCCGTCATCTTAATAAATTACATCCGAATAAAGTTAATCCTTCTATTGCGCAACAAGCAGAAATTATAAAGAATTTTTTACAGTCTGCCAATAATGTAAAAATTGTGAGTATAAATTTTTTATGATTTTTTTAAGAGTTATGTTAGAAAAAAATTTTTTCAATTTTACTAAAAACAAGATATTATAATTTATTTATAGAAATTTTCTAATGAACTTTTTCGTGCAAAGCTTGTCGAATGGATTGCTACAGATGATCAGCCATTTACAGTTGTTGAATCACCTGAATTTCGCTATGTAATACAAATTTGTAATGCAGAAGCACAAATTCCAACGGCGGATACTATCAAAAGTGATATCTTAAAACTGTATAAAAGTTACCATATTAATATACAAAATATATTACAGGTTAGTAAATAATTTATGTTTAAAGTTAAAATTAATATTTTTTAATAAAATTAACCTATTTTTAATTAAAGAATACTCCAGGAAAGATAAGCTTCGCTTTGGACGCATGGACTTCACCAAATGTCATTGGATTTCTCGGCATAACGGGTCATTATATTGACGCTGATTGGAATATTAAAGATATTCTTGTCGATTTTGTAAATCTTTCAGGTTCTCATTCGGGTGAAAATATGGCAAATATGTTCGTAACATGCCTTAAGGAAAAAAAAATATTAACTAAGGTTTGTACTTTGTAAATAAATTAATTATATATTAATAAAAGTCAGTAAACATAATAAATCTATTTATCATTAGATTCTTGCAATTGCAGCAGATAACGCGGCCAATAATAATACTTTTTTAAAATCACTTGAACAAACTTGTGTTGAAAATCATATTGCTTTTCACCATAAAGAAAATCATGTTAGGTGTATTGCGCATATCATGAACCTTACAGTTCAGGAGATATTAAAACATATTAGAGTTGGAGAAGCACAAGATGAGAATATAATTTTAGAAGAACTTTTAGAAAAAAATAACAAAACAAATGACATAATCCCTAAGGTAAATTAAATTATGATTAAAAATAATTTATATAAAAAATCTAACTAATATAAAATAATTATTAGTTGAGAAAATTTATAGTTAAAATTCAGGCTTTACCACAGCATCGAGACAGATTTTCACGCTAATGTGATCTTTATCCAACTGTTAAAGATTTAAATCTTATATTGGATGTCAAGACTCACTGGAATTCTACATATTTAATGATAGAACATGCTCTTCAATTTCAAAAAGTAAGTAAAATTTTTAATCATTAATAAATACTAATAAAATTGTAATAAATTATTGAATTTTATTTAATTTTATAGCCTTTTGACGAAACAATTAGAATTGAACCCGAATTGAAAGGATTTTCAATTTTCTCAAATAAATGGCAAACATTAAAAGAATTATGTTGTGTATTTGCGGTAATGGTTTTTTATTAAATTTTATTGCAATTGGTTCTTTTTATTTATTTTTAATTTAAAATTTAGGTTTTTTATAAAGCAACTGAAGAAATGTCAAAGTCAAAATTTATTACACTTTCATCTTCCATTCCAATATATAATGTTTTACTTGATCATTTAGAAAATCTTCTTGATAAAAATAATAAAGACCATTATTGCCCAATTCCGGAATTAAGATCTGCTATAAAAAAAGGATACGAAAAACTTCAAATATACTATTCTAAGACGGATGAATCAATTGTATACCCAATTGCAACAAGTAAAAATTAATTTTTAAATCTTATATTTATATTTTTGATGATAATTCAGATTATTACTTATTTATATGCATTTTATCATTTTTTAGTTCTGGATCCAAGAATAAAACTAAAATATTATAAACAACAAGAATGGGAAGAAAAGTATATTAATGAAGCAATAAAAATTATTAAGAAGCAGTATAATGAAAATTATCAAGATGATTCATTTAATAATGATCTTAGAGCTCAGAAAACTGATTCAAATAATTTTTTTAGTCTTTTTGAAATGGGTGATGATAATGATTCTTCTAATGAAGATGAATTAGAAGAGTATCTTCGTAAACCTGCAGTTAATTTTAAGACGGATCCACTACAATGGTGGAAAGTAAGTAAATTTTTTATAATTAATTTATTAGCATCTAATACTTTAAATTAATCTAAATGTAACTATATTATTATAGGCACACGAAGCTACTTATCCGCATCTGGCAAAGATGGCACGAGACTATTTAGCGATCCCAGGTAAGTATTTATTTGAATTTTTTATTTAACTTTTTCTAAGTTCTAACTTTTATAATTTTTAATAATAGGGACTAGTGTACCAGTTGAACGAATATTTTCTGGTGGATCTGATTTAATAACAAAAAGACGCTCTAGCTTGAAACCAGAAACTATTCAGACGTGCATGTGCTTAAAAAATTGGATAAAATATCTTCGATAAATTAATAAATGGAGATAACTGAGCTGATCACTTTTTAAGATTTTATTAATTATTATAATTATAATCTTTCAGAAAATTTTCTATTCATATTTTTTCTTTTATAACATTAATTTAGATTAGTAATTTCTTTCTATTTTTTTAAATTTATTAATTATTATGTAATAGCCAATACAAGACAAATAAAATCAAACTGTGAAATGTGAATTTTAATTCTTATATATGTTATTTGATGTGTAAATTACAAAATCAATTAAAAAAATATAAATATGTTATAATTTTTAACTTACAGATTGGCCGTAGTGTACCTGACCCGATCTGAAATACTAACCCATGGGTTGGGTCAGGTTAAAACTTTTTATAATCAGGTTGACATTTGACCCGACCCAAAAAAAATGAAATGGGTCAGGTCAGGTCAATTACCCGACCCAACCCGACCCATTCGGAGCTCTAGTAATAACTCTGCCAATATTGATCCTAGAATCGCGATCTTACTACCATTCGATTTGTTTTGATGAGATGAATCTAATGGTATAAGATACATCGAAATCCAATCACTAGATCAATTTCCGAAATTAAAAAATATTAAATGGTTTTTAAGTAATAACCCCGTCAATATTGATCACAGAGAGATGAGCTTACCACCATTTGATTCGTCTCGATGAGGCGATTCCAACAAGCTATAAATTATCTTTTTACTTTGCTAGTGTTTACGGCCAGACCACCCATTGCCTCTTATGAGACTAATCTCGGGTCTGTATCCTATCATCCTCATGGGCAACCATAATACCGAGTACTTAATTCCTCAGGAACAGCACCACTTAAAAGACATCCCCTATCGGGCCATTTTAGGCTGATCTGAAGCTAGGTACACGCCGCCTACTCATCCTTAATCCATTGCATGATACTGGTACTCAATTTATTTTACGACCTTTAGAGAGCACCTACTTTCATGAAGGACTTTAGACAGGTAAAATCAACCATCAAGTACCCTTCCATACCACCATTTTAGGTACTAAGTCTCACTCAAAGGCCACTACAGCCTGCGATTACCCAGCACCGATAGTACAGTTGTTTACCCCAAGTGGTATACTTTGTAGTGACCACTCGGACAGGAAGTAGCAGGCATCTGTTCAGGATCACCCCTTATGGTGGGTATCAACCACCAGGGATCACCAACCAAAACCCAAAGAGTAGGGAATCGAACCCCATAACCATGCTACCTGTTCTGTGCACGAACACCTTGGTTGGTTTAAGACCTAACAGAAGGTCAAACTACCACTAAGACATTGCACCCTCAGCTTTACCATCTAGGACGACCATCTAGCCATTACTGACCTCAAGTGGTATCGTGGAGTGACCACCCGGACAGGAAGTCCCCCAAGGTATAGTAGTGACCTCAAGAACAGGACTGCGCACATGCCAATGGCCTCATAGGGAACGTTAGAAGGACACCATGACCCTTAGTTGAAATGTGCGGCCTAACCGTACACACTAATTCACCATGATGCAGTCCAACTACGCTAATCTCTGTACCTTCACGCTATTGGTTGTAGCGTCCGCAGTAAAATTCATTTTAATTTCCGTGATCAGTGGAATTGAACCTGCGACCTCACCATACTCAGGCTTAATGAGGGTTTCAGTGACTAACCACTGAGATAGGGTGATCAACCCTTATAAATCGTCTTTTTACAATCACTAGGTACTGAGAAATCTAGCAAAATGTTAAATGGCGCAGTAAACGTAAATCAAAAAATATTATAATGCTGATGTTTAACATTTTGTTAAATAACTCGGCAGCCAGTGATCAGAAAAGGATAAAACTGGGTAATCGCGGGCTGTAGTGGCCTTTGAGTGAGACTTAGTACCTAAAATGGTGGTATGGAAGGGTACTAGATGGTTGATGTTACCTGTCGAAAGTCCTCCATGAAAGTAGATGCTCTCTAAAGGTCGTAAAATAAATTGAGTATCAGTATCATGCAATGGGTATAGGATGAGTAGGCGGCGTGTACCTAGCTCCAGATCAGCCTAAAATAGCCCGATGGGGGATGTCTTCTATAGTGGTGCTGTTACCTGAGGAATTAAGTACTCGGTTTAATGGTTGCCCATTGAAGATGATAGGACACAGACCCGAGATTAGTCTCATAAGAGGCAATGGGTGGTCTGGCCGTAAACATTTGCAAAGAAAAGGATAAAACAGGGTTGGTCACCCTATCTCGGTGGTTAGTCACTGAGACCCTCATTAAGCCTGAGTATGGTGAGGTCGCAGGTTCGATTCCCATGACCACAGAAATAAAAAGAATTTTACTGCAGACGCTACAACCAATAGCGTGAAGGTACAGGGATTAGTGTAGTTGGACTGCATCATGGTGAATTAGTGTGTACGGTTAGGCCGCACATTTCAACTAAGGGTCATGGTGTCCTTCTAACGTTCCCTATGAGGCCATTGGCATGTGCGCAGTCCTGTCCTTGAGGTCACTACTATACCTTGGGGGGGACTTCCTGTCCGGGTGGTCACTCTACGATACCGCTTGGGGTCAGTAATGGCTAGATGGTCGTCCTAGATGGTAAAGCTGAGGGTGCAATGTCTTAGTGGTAGTTAGACCTTCTGTTAGGTCTTAGACCAACCAAGGTGTTCGTGCACAGAACAGGTAGCATGGCTATGGGGTTCGATTCCCTACTCCTTGGGTCCTGGTTGGTGATCCCTGGTGGTTGATACCCACCATAAGGGGTGATCCTGGACAGATGCCTGCTACTTCCTGTCCGAGTGGTCACTACAAAGTATACCACTTGGGGTAAACAACTGTACTATCGGTGCTAGGTAATCGCGGGCTGTAGTGGCCTTTGAGTGAGACTTAGTACCTAA